TGTGATATCTCTGTTGATTTTGTTGTTTACAATTTTATGTGTCAGTTATTGGACAATATGTCCATAATAATTGCAGCATTTCAAATTTGATATATACTTACAATTTAAGGCAGATTTCTGTACTGATATGACCTTGACCCCCAAAGAGCAGAAATTTCAGGGTCAATACTTAAGACAATTATTTGTTGGATGTTTTATACATTACTTTTGACCTTATATCTTACAAATGATACCATGGAAAACTGTCTAGAATGAGAAGTAAGAAACCTATAAAGCCCAAAAATTGAATATTGGTGTTGCTTAGCAACCATTCAAAGGTCATTTAACACAAATTTGAACAAAAATAATATGTGGATTTTGCAATACAGTATGCTGCCTTCTAAAGAGTAAATTCAAAATTTTCTTCTTTAGCATCCATTGTTACAAATTTTAGCAAGAAAGATGAAAAGTTTTGGGAAAAATTTCTAAAATTATGCACTTATTTGACCTTTGACCTCCAAAAAAAGTGAATCTGATGAGGTCAAACTTTAAGACAATTATCTGATGTATATTATTTCAGTATCATTACCCCACATTTGACTTTACAATATAATGGAATGCATAAATGTGTGTGGGATGAGCAAAAAACAAGAAATACTGCCTGAAAATTGAAAAATACTCCGTTGCTTAGCAACTTCTTTAAAGTCATTATTTGCAGAATTGAAAAAAAAGTTAATGTGATTAATGTAGTACAGGATAATGACCTTTTGTGGGTTAATTCTGAATTTCCTATTTCAATGTGTATCACTTAATTTTTAACTTGAAAATTAAAATGTGTCAAGAAATGCAATAAAATTCTGCACTAATTTGACCTTTGACCTCAATTGCCACTAGCAAGGTCAGTCGTGAGGTACCTGCATAGTTATGAAATATCATCTCCAGAAAATTCCCTACAAAATGGTATACATTATGCCTAGATTACTCTTTGAATAAAAAAGTTATAAATTGATTTATAAGGATACGTCAAAAGGTTTGCAAAAACGCTGAAAATGTGCCGGTAGAGAAAGGGTTAAGAACTATATTTACGTCACCTGTAATAACGTGTCCAGCAGGATTATAGTTATAGGGCAAAGAAGAACACGAACACGAAAGGGGATTATTTTTCAGATAGTCGATATCCAGGCCATGTAAAGTATTTTTGTAATTGAAAAGTTTGGAAGCAATGGTCGATGTATATTTGTAGGAAATACAAGGCGTAGTCTTTAACTTGAAATATGGTGGAATACAAGACTGGACCCTTTTGTGATTAAGAATATTACTTATATTTACCGCGTCAATTCCTTTATTGGCATATTGAAGTTTAAGGAAAAGACGGATTGTTTTAGCTGCATTTTCTTCTGTGAAACGTGCGGGTTTAAAAAGCCTATGATGTGCAATATCCATAATCACAGAACCGAGCCTATATTCAGGTGTCGAGGAATCTAAATTTGGATGTTCCTTGGTCTTTTCAAGAAGACTATTTAAAAGTTTCAAAGGGACAGAGTAAAGTTTGGTTCAAAACTTTAGGATTTTTCTAAGAATACAGATATTTAAAACATCGATATTGTTTTTCTTAGTGTTCATTTTCATAATCCTTGTTTTTAATGCTTGTCACTTTGTAATATTTCCCATTATCTGGATATTCATGTTGCTTTAGCCTTCGTTTGAGTTTTAAAAATATGACTTTTTAAAAAAAATTCTTTTTTTTTGGAAAAATAATATTTTTAAATTTAATGAATGTTTCTCTTGGATAGAGTACTGTAAATTGTTGGGAAAAAAGTTTGTGTCGAATGGATATTTAATGGAAAAATGTGTTAGCCCCATGGTTTTCTTCGATGACAAAAAGTCCAAAATTAATTGTCCCATGCATATTTGTACCGTTCCCATCATTGTGATAAATTTTGCCTGTTCTCTCAGAAGACCAAACGGTGGTCAGGAGTGTCAAACAGGGTGAAAGAGTTAAAGACAGGGACTAGTAGCTAAATGTCAATAAATTTTTAGTACCAAATGATGGACCTTAATTCATTTGACTGACAGGGGAAATACAGACCAGGGAAGTCTGAAGGCCGTGCTTATTATATCGGGCTTTAACGGGATTGTTGGATTTGATATGAATTTCAAAAGAATTTTCTGTAATAAACATTGCTCGCAAAAACATCGTGTTCGAGGTTGCACCGCCTTGGTGTACCATTGCCTTAAAAAATATTACTTATTTATTAAAAGAATGAAATTCATGAGTTCTTGTTTATTCTTCAGGATAGAAAACGTGATACTAAATCGATATTTTTCAATTCATGGGTATACCTATATACAGCAGTTTGATTCTAAGGCACTATTCCACGAAAGTACATATGTATTGGGCAAACAAATCTAAGGATACCGGTAACGAAATTTGGAATGTCGTCATTTCTGAATGAGGATGTCAGAATTTGATTTCGTGTGTATGATGAACATTCTTTTTAAAAAAAAAATCTTCTTTGCATTCAAGTGCATTGGCCTCTTTTTATATAAAATGTACATGTGTGTTTCATTTATTAATACTCACCGGCCGACGGAAAACAACGCAAACGTTAATTTAAGTAACCCGCTATGCTTGTTATTCATTTGTATGACAGGTGCAACAAAAAAATTGAATGATAATAGTTAAAATTTAAGAAACCTAAGGTTGACAGAAGAAAACGTCATACGCTTATTAGAACTGAGCAGGAGAAATCGTAACAAATAGTTACAAATAACTTCTTTTTCAATTTATCTTTCAATGAAAATGTATTTTATAAATTTTATTTGTGTGACGTGTTTAAACACACTCTTGAAAATGTCCACAAAACTGTGAAGCAAGAAAACTCAATACATTTCATAAATTTAATAAAAATATATATACGCTGAACCCTAAAATTGCAAATTTACAAAATTATGCGGGTTGGCCAAATATAAAGTTGCATAAAAGAGAGGACGGTACAAAATTAAATAAAACTGTGAATTTTGGAAGAAAAAGGATTTTTTTGTGCTATTAAGCCATAACAATTAAAACTTTAGTATAATTATTTTTTTACGAGATTTGTTTTTTTTTCTGTAACATCTCTTTAAAGCGGCACAGTGAGTCAAAATCATATCGTAATTTTAAGATATCTGTAGCATACAGAGAAAGACTTATGAAATTATGAGTATTTAGCGAATATATGACAATTAAACTGCAAGAATTGACTGCACAATATAAGTGCCGGAAAAAATAAAGGTTGTATCTACCGTTTCGTTGTTTCGGTTATGTCAAGGTCACGCAACTCTTATTTTTAGCTCAAACTTGTAAACAACATTCAACTGGAGCATGCAAAGGTGAGAAATATGTTCTAAAAACTTTTTTAAAAAGATTAAATCAAATTTTTTGGTCTTCTTACATTCATTCGTGGATAACTGAGACCATGGTAACTATCGACACTTATTCAACAGTTTTCTGCGCACGCGTACAGTAGGGAGGAAGAAGTACAAGGGTATTTTACAATATTTTCGTTCTGGGGCAGACAGAAATTATTTTTACTTTCATTTTTCCCCATAAAAATATCATTTTTAGGTTTTGAAACATGTAATTTTCTGAAACTGAATACTTTTAGGAATTGAACAAAATTTACAGAGGTCATGCGAAAATTCTACATTTGTCAATTTCCCCCTTTGTGCAACACAGTGCCGCTTTAAGAAATCTACCGAAATTACGCAAATCAATATGTCAAGCTTTATATTAAATTAAATCTCGTGTGCGTCTCTCCTTGTGTTTGACGCTAAGTGGGCCAAATTCGCATGTAAATTTCGTGCGGCTGTCTTTGTGTTTGACCTCATTAAATGAGAACAATTGACATTGGAGTAATTGAAATCTATTAATCTTTTTTTTTTTAATGTAATCTAGAATTTAATTTCATAATGAAATGGAAATATAAGGAATCACTGTCTAATTAGTATACTATGCCGGGGACATGACATCAACGGAAGAGGGGGGGGGGGGGGGGGCGTAGAATATTTAGTAAATGCATCTTACATGTACATATGTATTCCATGTTTTCCATTATTGTTTATTACCAGGTATACTATACTTTACTTATATGCAAAACTGAAGGCAAAAATGTTTATTTTGGAAATCTATAGTTACATGAAATCTTCAACAAAATATTATACTATAATTTTCGTATGATGCATAATTAAGGGTGAAAGGGGTTCAGAATGCCACATATTTAAAACTTAAAATATCAAAATTTACTTTGTAATGATTTACTAGTTTTAGAAAAAAAAAGATAAACAAGAAATAACAAAAGACTTAAAAGGTTGGCCCCTTAACATTTTTAAATATCTTCAAAACGAAAAAGAATTGGATTTCTGATAAGTTGTTATACACAATATGTTCAAAATTAGGAGAACTTTAAGGTGATTCAAGAAAAAGACATTGACTTCTGTGAACAGGGGCCGAGAAAGACCAAAGTGTTTAATAAAGGAATCTTTAACGATCACGCTTTCGTAATACTTAACGGAAGGACAAATATTCATCTCAACAATTTATAACTTTTCATTATGATATACACATCAGGTATTACATAAAAGGGTCTAGGGATAAGACTTTGTGATAGTTGCATGCATTAAAATCGACTTTGTTAAAAAGCAATTTACAAAGAATGCAGTTCTCCATCGGCGAGTGGTGATGTCTACATATGAGTGAAAATTTCTCGAGAGGGACGTTAATCAGCTTACAATTAATCTTGGTTTACGTGTGCATCAAATGTAGAGAAAACTTACTTGTGATTATTTCTTTTTTTCTCTTTTATTGATAATAACAATGATACAAATAACACACAGATAGACTATATTACATATTTACATTTGATGATTCTTTTCACATAGAATAAAGAAAAAAGAAAAGCATTGACATTAAAATTTTGATGATTATTTTCACATAGAATAAAGAAAACTTGTGATTATTTCTGTTTCATGTTGATTTGCAGATATCACATTAATTTTGTTTGATTTAATTTTTCAATACCTGACAGAACTTCTTTTTTTCATTATTGTTACTTTAAATTTCAGTAGCTTTTAAAAGATTCCAGATAGGTAAGGTTGATTACACTTTTCATATGTTTAGTTTCTACTAGTGTGGAATTTAAAAGTCCGAAAAAAATAATTCACAGTAGCTCTCGGAATATAGAATAAATTGATTATGTATTTTATTATCCCTATTACCTATAATAAAAATATAATGTGCATTATAAAATGAATAATCCTAAATTCAAATGAATGTTTATTTAGTTCAAATGTGCTCTGAGGTTAGGATATTATTAATAGGAATACAATGTACACAGCACAATGCCATCCGTTTCTAGGCCATTGTAAATTGCACTCATTCGTTTTGTGTCTGCAAAAAAGTAAAAGTTCAATGACCTTAATTACAATCTGAATGAACATTGTATGAAAGAAAACGGGATATATATTTGGATAAAAACATTTTAAAAAGGTTCGGGTTTTCATCTCATTTATATTAGAAACGGATTGTTCAAATTTACACTTAGAATATATATTAATTAGTGTATGCACCCCTTTGGTTTTTTTTTTTTGGCCATACGTACTCTTTTGTGGAAGTCTTCTCAGATTCTGAACCATCGTGTCTGTAAGAAATATGAAAAGGGATTCTTAATAAGGAATGCGTTTTCTTGAAACGAAAGTCATCTTTTATTACCATATACGTATTTGACCTGGATGTGAGACATTCAATTCATTTTAAATATGTACAATACCTGTATAGACGGTAAACATGATCATTTTACATTTTCTGTAAAGCATTGCAAATATTCTATATTTCTTAAAGTTAATAAACATGATTCTATTCATCCTTGAACAAACATGCTATAGCTATGTTCATCAGCGATAGATACAATCCATTCGAGTCTATTTAAAGACATGCATGACACAGTCATACTGTATTTGCAAGGCTATTTTGATTAAAAAAAAAGAAATGTTACCGTAATTTTTTTTTTGCTAAAGAATTTGTGATTAATTAACATGTACATTGCTTTCAGAAAATCTAATTCTAAAAGAAAAGTGTCCTATATTTGGATTAAACTAACATTTACTTGCCTTAACTTCCAGCAATTTGGAGCATCGAGGTAACATTTGTTCTCCGTGTCAACTCGCATGCAGGTTGGGTCTATGAAAACAAGAGAGACAATTATTAATTTTCCAGTATCCACAATATTCAAACTTTGAGATATTCGTTTTATTTGTGTACATGTTTGTTAAAAGACAAAAGCACTTGCTTTGTATTTCGACTCGAAATTTAGATATATCGAACGCTGCATTGTCAATTAATAATGGTAATGTCCATTCTTATACCGATACGATATATCCCTCTGAGCTTGAGCTAAAAGATACCACAGAATTTGTTTTATACTTCGATATTTTACTCAAAAAGTGACAACGGTAATTTACCAACCAAGCTCTTAGATAATCATGACGACTTAAACTTTTCTATCGCCAACTAACCTTACTAGTACAGCAATATACCTTCAGCACCTGTGAACAGACTTTATATATCTTTGTTGATCCGATACGCAAGAGCGTTGAAAACAATATTATATAATGTTGATGGAACAAAAGTCTCGGTATTCTCGTTTAAAGTCACCACTTCGTAAGTTCTTTGTCGATGCAATGACCTTGTTAGCTTAGCTATTTATCATTTTATCAAATGGTGAATGAAGTTTTACAAACGAATTGTTAGTCCTTTATTTAAAAACTGAATTGATGACAAAGTTTTTTTGTTATTTAATGATCATAAGAAGGGGCAAACGAAGGTTGTGATGGTTCGGTAGAGGGTGCTCACTCCTCCATGACACCTGATCCCACCTCTGATGTTTTGGGGGTCCGTGTTTGTTTCTGCTCCTGTTTTGTATTGATATATGGATTTTTGTTTTTGAAAAATGTTCGTTTTCTCCAGATGTTTCATTCTAAACAGCATGATATAAATGAATCTTAAAGAAAAATTAAATGCCATCCATATTAGATAGAACTACAAACTGGTTTACAAATTGCTATACCAACACTTCAAAAGAAAATCTGGGAACGCCATTTCAAAATCGACTTACATTTTTTAATTTCAGATACACTGTAGGGCTTTTTTGGACAGCTGGCGTTGAATCTTTCGCAAAGAGAATGTTCACTGAATGAGATTATTCCTGCATGCTCACTGTATACAGCGCAAAAACCTATATTGGTAAGAAAAACAGTAACATGTAAATTACAACCCCATAATTAAAGTATCCGTGTTTCTATTGCTTATTTGCATTTAAAATTTGCAAAAGTCAAGCAAGATTAATCTATGGAAGAAAAGTTTAATAGGCATGATAACGTCATTTTAAAAAATGTAATATGGCAAAGTAAATCAAAGTACTGAAAGTACTGAAAAGCGGTTAACATGCTTTCATGGAATATGACTGTACAGAGTAGAATAACAATAATGCATTGAGTGATGCTATAAAAGTAAGCATGCATATCTTTGTCCAATGTCATCAGCGAAGAAGCAGACACACTAACTTTTGTAGTACTTAACTAAATGGTAAAACCAATAACATCCCAGATTGATGTCACAAATGTATGTTTCAAAATATCAACCTGAGATTTTCAGTTTGAAAGACAGGTAGTTCAATTTCAAAAATTTCTTCCTAATTGTCTCCATTGGTGGCGTCCAAAAGTGCTCAGAACAAAAAAAAAATATGCTGATGTTGCAAATTTAATTGTCTTTCATGCTCTATTGATTCTGAAATTAGCATGATTAGGTAACTATAAAGGCTACTATAACAAACAACTCAAAAAGAAAATTAAATTATAATTTAAATTCTTTAGATTAATTTATTTGATGTACTGTACATAGATCTTTAGCTGGCTAGTCTGAGAAAAACGGATGGACGAGCAGAGAATTTGTAAATTAATTAATTTCAGAGAGCTTCAGTTTCGTAGGCTCACTGCGGGTCAGCAGGTGTGACCTGTCATTGGGGATGCTTACTTCTCCTAGGCACCGGAACTTTCAAGGATCCGTTTTTCTTTTGAGACCGATCGCTGTTTATTCTGTATTTTGATACAGATACTGAGTACATCTGTTTATTAATATTATGAACTATTTCTCTCACAGGAAGAAAGACAAGTAAACAAGATAATAAAGTTTTAAGTAATGTACATTATTGACTTTTCATACAATTAAATGTTCGAATAAGTAATAAATGACAATTATTTAAAAAAGAGTCGGCAAATATTTAAATAAAAATGTGATCGTTTATAATCGTTTGTAATAATTAGACTGAGTACAGAATTTATCCCTGGAAACAAAGCTTTCATAATTTCAATTGAGAAAAAAAGGAGAAGAAAACAAACGTTTCATAATGGAAGTAATCCATAACTGTACAACTAATACAGATGTATTCAGTTTTTTTATATAAAGGCTTTCTTCATGTACTAGTATTAATCAAGTTAATTAAAGGGATGCCTTAATATTTTAGCAAGGAAAAGGAAACTCAATCGAGAGATTCTCCGATGTTTTGCAGTCGGTAATAACCTTCAACCCCTTTAGCCAGTAATTAACCCGTCCTCCCTGTGCCGGTAGCATAATTCGGTCAAATATTTATTGTTCACGAGGGGTGCCTTATAATAAATCACAGGCACCTGAATTTTAATCAGTAAGTCTCTAAATTAGCCAAATATCGAAACATTCTACCCCCTCTATATAAAGTATAAATACACAAGGCGTGCAACGCCATTTTGACCCCTTGTTCGATTCAGGCCTCAATTTAACATATAAATCGGATATGCCTACTGGTTTTCGTGTAGCATTGGGTTCAAATATGATATTTCTCGCTATATATTTCTTCCTTAAGTTTAAATCCAACGCGTTGATAATTTTATCAGCTAAACTTCATGCTGACTTCGAATTTCGTCACAGGGCCCGATCGCCATCAGCTGACGTCACGGAAATTTAATCTCGACACCAAATGCTCCTATACATAAACTTTTTTAATACAACAATTATAAATTTATTTCATTGACAAACAAAATCAGAGAAAAATCAAAAACCGAAAGATTATGTTGTTTTGATAGTCTTGATTTTAATTATCATATGTTATATGTGTTAGAAACAAATCATAGGTAGAGGCTTTGTCGATAGGTAGCGCCTTATGGAAGTTTCCGGTGTCGATACATGCCATAAAGCAGTTAGCGAAGCTAACCGCTTAAAAAGCGTTATTTAAACAATAACGCATTAATAAGGCAAAATAAAAGAGCGTTATCTAACCTCTTAAAATTGCATAATTATGAAAAGTAAAAAAGGCGTTAAATATTACACCCGTTTGCAGGCCCATGGCAAGTGCTTTTAAAATATTTTGAAAAGGGAAGGGGTGGAAGCTAGCTTTCCAAAAATTCATAGTTTTACCAATTACATGTATAGTTCCTCTTTGAAAACAGATACCTGTACATGGAACAAAAATTATGGATTTCACATCGTTGATTGAAGGCTAACTATTGATTATTTGCATGCAAAAAATTTGCTATCTATCAAGTCAGACAGTTTAGAAAATTCTTTATAAATCGCCGTCCTTTGTAATTGACAAATCATAGCTACGAAAGCCCAATGGTGCAAACCAAAAATAAATAAAGAAAAACGAATTATTAATTAAAGACAAACGTTATTATTTAAAAAGGAAAGACGGAATTAATATATAAAAAGAAAGTGAATTAATATATATAAAAACAAAATTATTAAAAATCGAGAAACAAAATTATTAAATAAAAAAGAAACAAAATTGTTAAATAAAAAAAAAAAAACAAATAAATATATGAAGAAAAACGAAATTATTAAATAAAGAAAAACTAAAATATCAAATAAAGAAAAACGACATTATAAAATAAATAATTTTGGGTTTCTTTATTCAATAATTTCGTTTTTCTTCATTTATCAATTTGGTTCTTTTTATTTAATTATTCCGTTTCTCTTTATATATATATTTTGTTTTTCAGGTAGAAAACTGAAACTGAAGTACGGAATTAACAGATGCGCATGGTAACGGCCTGAACCCATAAATCATCCAATACACAACCATTACAATATATGAATGGGTGAGAATTTATAATCTTTGGTATCAATAGTAAAATACTTAGATTTGTGTTTTTATCATGCATTAGCATGATCAATGTAAACTTTCACCAGTCTGATAATTTGGCCAGTAATTCGATGAGATGTTGCCTTTAACAATTGGTTTAATAACATTAGCTTTCTTAAACCCTCTCCTCGAAAGGTCAAATGATCAGCAAATAATAAATCTTGACACGCAAATAATGACTTTGGAAATGAAACATTAAAGAGATTATCCTAATAAATTGCACAAAATATTTAAGATAAACGTGAAGGTTAAGATTCCGTTGTTATGTACGGTTGAATTTTTAACATTTAGCAAATCTACTTGGCTTTACAGTTCATGCATTAGAAAATGCCGTAACATAAAACATTACCGATCGGAATTTGTGGGTTTGTTTGATATTGTAAAAAAATGTTTAAAAAGAACGAGTTAAAAAATTAAATCAAGTCAAAGTAGTTACAATAAGTAGATTTTAATAATTGCTCACTATATAAGAAATAAACCAAAACACTTCTGATTTCTTGGTATTAATAAATGTCAAAGTCTCAATCTGTACTATTTATAAGTCAGTGGTAGTGTATAACTACTATAGAACTTGATTTCACATACATGTATTTATAAGTCAGTGATATTTGTGAACAAACAATCACACACTTGCATAAAACAAATCCCACAAGATAATCAAATCATTTTTCTCTTTATAGTTTCAACAACCTAAGATTTATATGTACACAGACAGGACGCTAGATAAAGTTTGTTGGAATTCAGTAATACGATACTCAAGGTCTTGACCTTCTCGCTTTATTGGAATGTCATTAATTTTATGCAAACAAAAACAGAAATCCTCGTTAAGTCCAGGCTTACAGACTCCAACAATAATGTTGGGATATGACACGGCAACAAATTCCCGTAAACAAAATTGAAAAGTTTATGAATTGTTTACGGAAATAGAAATTTTAGGCTGTATGCAGATATTTTTTCAACGTTTGTTAATTTGATATGTATATCTTCTTTAATTTTTTCGATTTCTACCACACATTTGTAAAGTCGAGATAGGCGGAAATGGGAATTTTAGGTTGTGTGCACATATTTTTTCTACGTTTAGAATTATTCATGGGTTCAGGCCCTTACCAAGCACATCTATAAACTCCGTATTTTAGTTTCATTTTTCTACTTGTAAAACGACATATAATATATATATATATATATATATATATATATATATATATATATATATATATATATATATATATATATATATATATATATATATATATATATATATATATAAACGAAATTATAAGAATTAAAAAAAACGAAATTATTAAATAAAGAAAAAGGAAACGATTATTTAATGATTTCGTTTTTCATTATTTATTAATTTCGTGTTTTCTTTATATATTAATGTCAGTTTTTTTATCTTACAATTTCGCTCCTCTTTAATTAATAATTTAGCTCTTTTTTATTTAATAATTTCGTTTTTATATATATCAATTTCGTTTTTCTTTATTTAATAATTTCGTTTCTCTTTACTTAATAATTTTGTTTTTTTTTCATATATTAATTTTGATTTTTTTTTATATATTAATTTCGTTTTTTCTTTATTTAATATTTTGTATTTCTTTATTTAATAATTTCATTTTTCTTAATTTGATAATTTCGTTTTTTCTATTTATTTTTGGTTTGCACTTTGGGGCTTCCGTACATAGCGTCAGAAAGAAGTTGGCTATGATTTCTATTTGAAAAACAAAAAGTAGAAATGCCGATCTTGGAAATACATTTGGTCTTTCTATAAATACGTATTATTACTTCAGGAATGTCTCTTTGTCTTGGCCACATAATCGAATATAATCTAGTTTGGGTAGGTTAACCGAATCGGATAATGAAATGTAAACTGGCCCAAACCAGATTATACTCGATAATGTGTCAAAGAGGTAGAGTCATTCCTTATCATTTAAATTTAAAATAATTAAACAACTTTAGATGTAAAATTATGTTGCTTTTTTGAGTTCAAATTTACCGCGTAATATTACAACCGTAGTAACGGAAGTGATTTGAAGCGAGGGAGGTAATCACTAATATATAGATCTAACAGCCCTGATGTTTGTTTACATGAGGTAAGAACGAGTAAGTGTTTGATTGATTGATTGATTGTATATTGTTTTACGTCCCTCTTGAGAATTTTTTTCACTCATATGGAGACGTCACAGTATGCCGGTGAAGGGCTTCAAATTTAGACCTATACTCCGCACTCAGGGCCATTGAGCAGTGAGGGTTCTTTATCGTGCCAGCGCCTACCGTGACACGGGACCTACGTTTTTAAGGTCATATCCGAAAGACCCGTGACTTTCACTTCTAGTGCCGAGCGCTTGGCGAAGGAACAGTCACTACCTTTGTTTACATGTACGTCTTAGGTATGACGCGGCGCCGCGAACGAAAATCGAACCCGGGCCTCCCGATCACGAAGCGAACGCTCTACCACTAGGCTACCGTGACCGGTAGTAAGAGTTTGAAGATAAAGGTTTATTTATTACACCTTGAATTTTCCATGGATTCAGAATACAGGAAATGAGGGGATTAGATGGATAAGATAATTTAGCTGGTCGTCAAGGGGCGTGTCCCCAGATTAGGCAAAATAATTTGCGTTCGTTTTTGGAAATAAACCAATAAGAGACGTGAATAAAAACAAAATTTTAAGTTATATGTATATAAAACAATTTTCTTAATTTTCACATACTTTAAGGCATTTCTCATATACAATTTCTACATTAAATTACAGGTTTTGTTAAATGTGTGAAACCTTCAGAAATAGTCATATCCAAGTCCAGGCAAATGTAGAAAAAGCGGTCAAGATTCCATCCAGGCAAACATAGAGGGTCTTTGCATTCAAGTGCGTGTGTCCTGTTGCAGTTCCTGACCTCCATAAGTTTGTCTTTCTGAAGCAAAAAGAAACAATTTCCATTTTTGTTTTACATAAAGGATACTGCACAGCTTTTTCTTCAAAGGTCATAAACACCTTCCAAAATCTTCATAAAATATGACTTCTTTTAATAATTTTTCTACCCCCAACTTGAATAGCGGGAGAGTATATAGTAAACGGGATGTCCGTCCGTCCGTCTGTTACGCTTTGGGATTTCTATCTCTTATCCACAGCTCCTCTCAAACCACTGAATGAAATTTGATAAAACTTACGCAGAATTTTTATTACATATTGCTATTGTGCACTCCAAACTCTATTTTTGTAATATATATTATGAGTTTCCCACATAAGAACATGGACACTGCAATTATATTCATATGGGAGGCGGGGATATCTTTAAGTGAGCTAATTGCTCACAGTACCTCTTGTTTGATTATTGTTTGCATAAAACACATTACTTTTGCCTTTACTTTTTGTCCCATATGGGCACATCATAAAATTATAAATAAGCAGGGTGCATTATGACGTCATACTCGTGAGGGCAGTTATATTTAGGCAACGTCACACAGAGTGCGATAATGATATTATACTTTTTACCTGTATAAAAGAAAAGTAATATATATAAAGCTCTTTCATGAGGTCGATCCAAAGATATAATATCGACTTCACAGAAAAACATATCGGTCGAGCACAATGTTGATATCTATGGATTGAACAATAGAAAGGGCTATATTTCTTATATTAATTCAAGGTGATCGACGAAAGAAAATAATTATAAAGATCTGAAAATTTCTCTCTCGACTTATACACAGAGACTTAGAGATAAAATTTTGTTGTTTCCTTTCTACTGATAGAATGATATGGGCCATTTACTAATTTAACAGGCAAGATTTGTTTGATTATCTTTTATAATGATTAATGATAAACAATGTGACTAATGAGCTTTAATACAGAGTACTTAATCTTTATTATTCAAGCCATCGTTTATTATGTTTAACCATTTATAAAAGTGCACGTTTTATTTTTTTTTTCAAAAGCATAACGTCGATAACTGTATCAACTATTTTTAAGTAAGTCAGTTTTTTTTTTATTATTTTAGGAACATCAAGTTAATATGCTTTTCAGAGTCAATTAAGAGTAACACAAGTGTAAATGCTATGTTACAACGCACTTTGAAAAATTACGCACTTTGAAAAATTATTTCAAAGTGCATTAAGTTTTGGGACCAGGTTAACGCACTTTGAAAAATTTTTTCAAAGTGCGTTGAATTTGGGACCAAATCAACGCACTTTGAAAAATTTTTTCAAAGTGCGTTAAAACTGTACATAATAATTTTACACCATGTAAACATTTAACGCACTTTGAAAAAATTTTCATGAAACAAAAGGAATTAGACTTATATTTTAGAAATAGACAACAGTATTATCCCCTTGCAACGTATGATGGGATATAGTGATGCTATTATGTGTGTTATTACTTTATGTGTATGTTAGTTTTTTCTGTGTGGAATTGACGTAATTTGTATCGGGATCTTTTTTGGGAAGGAATGCTCCTCTTTGCGGTGCCCTTACTTTGATGTGTTTTTTTCTAAAAACTGATGGATTGAAGAAAACCAAGAAACGGAAAACGAAGAAAAGACTGGCTGAATTAAGGTCTATCAGCTAAACTCTTTATCATTCCCACCCAGATATATCTATTTCTATAACTCGTAACCTTAAGTGTCAATGATATTTGAAAAAAAGAGCATTCTAAATACAGTATAAGAACTGTACAAGGAAGTCTGTAGTAAATCGAAATTTTGTTCTTTTAAATCTCAAAGTCTATTTATGTTCATTTTCAGGAAAATCAGAATATTAATTACTAGCTGTATATTCCTTATTTTTCGCGAGTGTTTTTTTTATCGCAAACTAGCTCTCAAACGACAAATCGCTAGAATTATAATTCGCGAATGAACGGTTTATTAACAGATTTTACATAGATTTAAGCACCAGAAAAATAAAAGCGAGAAATATTTTTTTTGCGAGTGATACTTCTCGCGAAATAACGCAGAAATTAATTCCTCGCTTATATTAAGGAATCTACAGTACCTGTCTGCTTTTCGATGTTAATTTGATACCATATCTGATAATCTCTCTGTTAAACTCCAGGTGTTTAAAATCACAAGTTTTGCCAAAATTATAGAGTTATATCTCTTTGGTATCCCAAATAAGGTTTTATGAAAATTCATATAAATATCTATAATTTTTAGCTCTACTGGTCAGAGACCAGAAGAGCTTATGCGATGGTAATACGTCCGTCGTCCGTCCGTCTGTCTGTCTGTCTGTCTGTCTGTCTGTAAACAATTTTTCAAAATGCTACTCCTCCTACAGTTTTGGTCTGATTTCAATATAACTTGGCACACAAATAGAATACTCTAAGGTACATAATTCTTTGCATCGGTTTTTGATTTCGATGAACGATGTTGCCATGGTTACTAAAAATAGAAATTTCTGTGAAATTCTTTCAAAATGCTACTCCTCCTACAGTCTTGATCTGATTTCAATATAACTTGGCACACAAGTAGGCTTTACTAAGGTACATAATGCTGTGTATCAGTTTTGGATTTTGCTAAACGATGTTGCCATGGTTACTAAAAATAGAAATTTTTGTGAAATTCTTTCAAAATGCTACTCCTCCTACAGTTTTTGCCTGATTTCAGTATAACTTGGCACACAAATAGGCTATACTAAGATACACTATTCTGTGCATTGGTTTTTATTTTGATAAGCGGCAAGGACCATTTTTCTATTAATTGCTATTTTAAAGTTTCAAGTCCCAGCTGCTACTTTTCTCTTCCTTTGTTTTATGTATAAACCAGTAGAGCTACAGTATCGACAGAGACTTCTGGTTTTTAGAATCATTCCAATATGTTAACATTTGAGAATTGACTAAGAGATGGGCGGAAGAACAAAACTATCGTTCGTAGTTCTTTACGACATTGAATGTTGACCTTTTGACCCCAAATTCAAAAGGGGTCTTCCTAAGGCCACAGGGATTCTGTTATGTTAAATTTCATTGCAAATGTTCAAAGGGTTGGCGAGATATCGTGTGGAAACGAAAGCGTTACAGAAAGACGGATGGACGGACAGCTAGACGGACGGACTGACAGATAGACCCAAATTAATATCTCCCACTTTTCAAGCGGGGGACAAAAAAGTATCAAATCAGGTTCAAATGATAATTTATCATACCTAAGATTTGTAGGAATATTGACTAAGCCATGCAGAATTTTTTTTTCAAAGTGCGTTAATATGGTCGATATTAACGCACTTTGAAAAAAAAATTATTTTTTCAAAGTGCGTTAACCTGGTCCCAAAATTTAACGCACTTTGAAAAAAATTTTCAAAGTGCGTAATTTTTTCAAAGTGCGTTGCCACAATGCTATTATAAACTTGATCATATGCACAGGTTTCAGCCTATCAGAGAGTTTAATGGAGAAAAATGATATATTTATTCAACACATGGGTGCAATATACATACGTCAGTTTCAACAGTTGTTGTATCCAGTGTTTTACAACTTGGTGTATTGCCTGAGGTCATTCGACGACGACTGAACGCAGGCTTCCCACAAGTAAACTTGAATTCTCCTGTTTGCGACATTCCTGGAACAAAAGTTGGATTTAAAATATCAAACTTCAAAGAAAAATATTTCATAAATTTTCTACGGAGTGACTGTTATATTGGTTCGAAATTCAACCATAATATTTTATTGTGACACCAATTAACTTAAGTCAGAAACTTTAGGAATTTATCAAACAAAGGATGTTCCCATATTAACAAAATTGCCGTTTACTGTTCTACTTAAATTCTTTAAGACTTTCCGTAATTATCTCTGTAAAACTTTGATTACTTTTTGTGGACCTATATTTTGCCAGTTTGCAATGATTTGCGCAATTTAAAATTATCTCTGCCTTTCCCGGACAATGATCGCATAATGATATACATTTAAATAAACTTAGCAGTTTTTATCCATAGTTACATGTAGAATTTTGCACTCTGCCGTTGTTTGAAAACGCTTAGAACCTTTATTTATACAAACTTGAATATTAATTTCCGAAAATAGTATTTTAATGTTCCATGGCCAGAAAGTCCAACGCCTAACAATTGATCATTAATCCACAATAAAACTTGGTGAGTACCGAACAATCTAAGCAATCTAAGAGTGCTGTTCTTTGACCCTATGCTTTGATTTAGTTTAATTTGCTTATTAAGCAGTCCAACATATTGAAAATTTGCAGAAGAAATACACACAAAGAAAACACGGAAACGCTTTTGTCTTTATTTTTGATTACCCAGTGTTTTCATTTCCTTTTGATATTGAACCACTGTTCTAGAGTTTATTAAAGAATATAAAGCATTGTACGTACCATTAATCTGAATCAGTAGAAGTCCTCTAGGATCAGTATTATTATTGATGAACTTCACGGACAACATCGTTTCGAATTCATTAAACAAAGTAGAAGGAAGAGTTTCCTTGGTTATGTTACAAGACTCGGTTAATGCTTTTGGGTTATTTGGTGTGAAGATATTTATTTGTTTGCAGATATCTTCGTCTTGGTTCCCTCCACTAGAAATGATACAAGTTGTATTACATAGAGCAAGAAGTATTTGATAAATATTAATATTTGAGTCAAAGTCATATCATAATGTTTGAGTCTTGGTAATAAATAAGCGTTTAGGATATATTCTCTGTAGACCACTCAACCTTGTTTTGCAACACATAAAATGTGTTATCATTGATTTCATGAATCTTTATCAGTAATATTTTTACTTGACACCAGAAATAATTATATCACATAAAATTTGTTACTTTGTTCTTTGGTGACCTGAATTGATATTTTCTTCTGCTTTGAACCTTTACTGAGCCTTATGATAATTAAGACTAGATAAATCAAACAAAACGTCCCCTACAAAAACATACAGAAACTATCAAGAGGGCTGAGTGGTTGTGTCCATTTTCAGATCATATTGAGCACCTTTTAAGATAATCTTTGAAAAAGATATACAAATATGACCAAATTTTAAACTAGCTTCTTAATGTTATTTTTTTATATCAACATTGTTATGTTTAATGGTGTATTTGTTATCAACCTGACTCCCCAAAAATATAATCTGTCAATAAGTCATTTCCAGTTATATATATTAAATAAATTGAACTAGATCAAATACGGAAGCATTGCTGATATCCAAAATAAATCTATCATGTATTTAAGGTATGCCACTCTTCTTTTTTTTTTTAAAGAAAAGTTTGCTCAGAGCATCTTACTTTAAAATCATTTGATACAATTCAATTTCCCCCACATATTTGAATTAAATACTGCAGATTATGATATATTCAATTGAAGAACAGCTCACCAAATTGTAAAGAAACAAGGCATGGGGAGAGTGCTATATTTTGTGGTTGAAAGATATTTAGATTGATTGATTGTATAACGTCCCTCTTGAGAATTTTTCACTCATATGGAGACGCCACCGATGCCGGTGAAGGGCTTCAAATTTAGACCTATCCTCGGAACTCAGGGCCATTGAACAGTGAGGGTTCTTTATCGTGCCAACGCCTACCGTGACACGGAACCTACGTTTTTAAGGTCATATCCGAAAGACCCGTGACTTTTAGTTCTAGTGCCGAGCGCTTGGCGAAGGAACAGTCACTACCTTTGTTTACGTCTTAGGCGATCGAGAATCGAACCCGGGCCTCCCGATCACGAAGCGAACGCTCTACCACTAGGCTACCGTGACCGGTAAAAAGATATTTAGAAGAAAATTCTCAATATCTACACACTTCTTCGATTAAATATTTTAGTCCCATATATATGTATTTTCATTCGACAAAACTTTTTTCGTAATTAAAAATGCATCAAACTTTTATAATAGCTTTCAATTAATAATTTCAAAACAAAAAAATTTCTTATTCAATCAAATTTGTTTGTTGAAAAAATGAAAATAAATTTAAAAATTCCAGATAAAAAAAATTGGGTAAATAAAATTGCAAATCATTTTGATCAATATCTCAAAGTTTACATTTCTTACCTTTAATTTTTCCTTCGTATTTTTGAACTACATGATACATTTTAAAGATCAGTACTCAAGTAATTAAATGCATAAAATAAGAAAATGCTTCATTGCCTAAATAGATGTTTATAAAGCCGTGCTATTTTCCTAATTACATGTATCTAAATTAAACCTCTCAAAAAGGCATAACATACTAGTAACTCATATCACGAGATACATACTTTAAAATAAAAAAAACTTAAAATATGGTAATGGAATCGTTTCCATACAACATAGCATCAAACTTGCTCTCTATTCATCGTGTTTAAAACTGTCCATTTCAATTTCACTGATCTTCGACAAGGTCACTTTGACACATAGCAACAAATGATTTGAGTTTAAGCCATCAGATATTTTCTTTAAAAAAATCAAAAACAAAATGTAGCACATGAGTGAGTTGTTACAGAGCATTACTCGGAATCTGGAAACCTTCAAGTTTTGGGAAAAATCATTGTACAAGCTATATGTATATATATTTTTAATTAACTTAAAGGATATCCGATCCTCAGCCAAGAACGATAACTCAAATAATTATATCTTATATGAAATGCATTAAAAGAAGCTTGAAAAAGAATTTTTTTCATGCAACAATTCTCATTTTATTCATCTTTATAATTTAAGACTCATCGTTTTTGGAATTCTTAGAAGAGGCCTTACAAAAGTTTATATTCGTACCCTATAAAAGGAAAAATATTTATACAGTTTTAGAGAAATAAGATTTTTCTAAAAATCAGCCTAAGATGCCAAAGCTTATTAGCATGATATGTAATAAGAAATGATTTGTGGTGACTTGCACTGATAGCAAAAGCATTTTACACTATGTATCATAGAATACATGACGGAAATAAAAGATAAAAAATACCAAATAAGTATGAAAATCATGATATTTTCTCTAAATGCCTGGATACCTATCGTTTTTTAACCTTAAACATATTTGTTCATTAGTTTGCAATTAGAAAATGCATTGCTGTTATTCCCATTCGCTTTTTCTGCAAAAGTATTGAATATTTTCCCTATAAAATATGATTAACTTTAATCTTTAACTTGAAAGAAATACTGTGGATAAATTTACATGTACATAACTTTGTGGATTCAGAGATACTTTTTTGAGTATAATTTATTACTAAACTGCTAATTTTATAAACATGAGGATCGGACTACCTAAAGCACACAAAAAGAGGAACTGTATTTTATATTCTTTTTTGTTTTAGAAATACTGTAATGGATATCAGACCTGAGCATAAGGATGTTTATCATGTAGTTCATTTTACACATAGGCTCCAATAAACAGTTGCACTGAAACTTAGATTGACGTTGTTTATATATAAAGATTTCCGGGGCGAAGATTGTTACATCTGAGCAAGGATCCAAGGTGTTATCTGAAAAAAGAGTAAATGTCTAAGAAAGTTCATCGGAAGAAGTCCAAGTCAATGTAATAGCTTTTTCATTGAATGAATATAAGTTATTAAATCAAAAATGAATTGAAATTGACATTTTCTTGAAGTGATATACATCAAAATTGTGTTAATTTAAGTTACAATAAATACAATAACAATTCCAATCTTCTTTACATTATAAGGGGTGTAAATAAGTCCACATTTTTTCGATTTGGAAAAGAAATACAATGGGAAAAGATTTGTGTTATGTCATGTTCACACAGTCCATTCTGGATACTGATAAAATTAAAAATTATCTTTTGTTGATGAATAAGGGGAGAACAGGTATTGAAACAGATGATGTCTGTGCAGAATGAAGCATATATGTGACTTACAATAAGCGTGCAGGTTACATGTAATAAATCCTTTTTAATACTAAACATTTTTTTTAATTTAATAATGAATTTCAATATGACGCCCCTATTCTTGATTAATCTGTCTTATAGCTAACTCATCAGTTTTGTATGATGAAAGATGAGCCGCCAACAAACAATAGCACATAATCTAAATTTTCTCACAAAATTGCCAGAAGTTCTGCCATTTTGGTATTTTGAATACGCTTTTATATATTTTCATACGGAAGAAAAAGACTAAAGCTTAGTGTTAGAAATGTATTCCTATAAATCGAAAGACTAATATTGTGATTTTGTCTTACTGGAAAGAGTCACCGCATCTGTTAAATACTAGTTTGAAATTCTCAAATATATTTCACCATGGTACAAAGGCGGCATTTTTCTTAATTCATTTAACAGATTTTCAGATAGCAGTGCTAAATCAACTTGAAGTTCCCTTAATGCTTTAAATGACAAGATTGAGTGATAACGCGCCGCCTCAAAATGTGAATGAAATCTAGTGATACTAAACGAGAGACGGAAGGAAAACCAAATTTTTAAGCAAAAAAAAAAAGATGCATAAAAATTTTCAGATAAACAACACCTGGTATGCAGTAGTAGTCGATCGTCATGTAATTTGTTTTATCCATATAGACAGATGTGTTGCAGATGGAAGATGATTCCATCCAAGACGCTCTTTTGCTACAAGCAGATTTGCCGGTACAATCATGATAGGAGTCGATAGAGGAACCGTTGTACGGCAGACTGCAGTCGTTTTCATCATATGTACAACATGACATATCTACATCATTTTTGGTTTGTAGTTGCGGGCAGTTTGATGATTTCGGTTTGGAATGTGCATATATATTTTTCACAACTATTTTGAATCCAACATTGCAATAGAGGTCCAAGGTGTTACTCTTTGTAACAATGCCATGACATGCATTATCAGAGTGTAACTCAGGTGTTGAACCTGAAAAAATAAGCAACATCGACTTAAAAAAGAGCAAAATACACAAAATTATAATTATTCTATGATAATAATTATATTTTTACATATTTCATAATATAAGTTCTTTTTAATGAAATTGTCATTTTTTTTTACATTTCATGATACTTAAAATGTCTGAGCGATAATTTTAAAGCGATACAATAACTGTGACGCCATTTCAGGAATTAAAAAAGGGAATCTTTGCATATTTTTTTTTTTTATTTTGAAATTGTTAAATTTCGAAACATAAAGGTTTCAGAACTTATATATAAAATTCCATTTTAGAGGGAAACTACTCCATATATAGGATATAATTTTGTATCAAAATAAAAGTTTATATGCGTTCAACTTTGTATGTATCGGTAATTTAACGACCTGAATGACTTTTATATCAGAACTGGAAGTTAAGTTTGAATTCGATTGAAAGAAATAAGAAAATTAGCATGTTTAACAAATCATTTGGCAATAATATTGACATGCATGTTTGGGATTTAGAGTTTGTAACTTATCAACATACACTGTAGGTAATGTAGCAATATTTTGTCCCTGGTGTTATTTGAAGGAACGTATGCACTGTTCACACGGAGAGTTTAATTCGCAGTAAATTAATGAGGAGTAAACTAAAGCAAATTAAAATAATGCGAATTAAATTGCGTTCACACGACAGCTAAAGCGAAGTAAATCAATGCGAATTTAAAGTTTACCTCTTGAAAAAGACTATTTATTGAGGCTCTTATGACGTCATTTGTAAATCATGTCATGTGGGCAGAGTCATCCATTTGATGTAATAATCATAGTGGCTACAGGTATACATTTAATGATTAAAATACTCTTCCTTGATTGTTGAACCAAATATAGCACGGATACCTATATCTAACCACCACCATGTGTCCTGTGACTTAATTCTGGTCTTATATTACGCTTGCGTCAAAATTTAATGCGAATTAGCTTCGCTTAGCGTTCCCATGCGCAGTTAATTAACTCGAACTAAACTAATTCGCATTAAATTCTCCGTCTGAGCCCTGAGTGAAGCTAATATAATTCGCAGTAACTTTACGTTTAATTCGCATAAAACTGTCCGTGTCAATAGAGCATAAATTAGTAGGAAATGTAGACCAAATATGAAGTCTATATCTCTTATGGTTATAACATTATCGCGAAAGTTCGGAAAAAAGTTCAGCTTATTGTTCACAGTCAAGATCCCACGATCATTGACTTTTGCCATTTATAAGAATATAATTAGTGCAGTATGCATAGCAAAGATGAAGTCTTTATTTTCTATGGTTTAACAGTTATGGCGACGGTTAAAGTTGACAACAGACAGAGAAACAGACAAGCATAAAGACAGAAAAGCAGAACAGGACAAAACGATATGCGCCTCGGATTTATCGATCCTGGTGCATAGAAATGCAAAACGAATTATACATGTATCAACATAAAAATGCATTTATTTGAAGTATCTGTTTTCTTTTCACTCTTAAAATACCACAAATATACGATATCCGTACAATATAATACTAAAACAATTTGTCATCCTTGCCGATAGCCTTATATAAAATGAAATACACTTTTTTTTTACACGTTTCTCATACGATTCTTGAAAGAAAGTCGCACGTTTATCACGGTTTACGCAAAACGCTTCGGAGCTTGCACGAAACGCTACACGATTTGTATAAAACGCCTACGGTTTAAAGAAACTTGGTATATTGTCAGAGCCCATTTTTATGTCATAATCATGCTTTTGCAAATGCAATACTAATACTTGCTCTGATACCTTGATCGCCTATATATCACAATGACAATTTACATTGATAATTTCATCTGTTATTGAAAATGTATCTAGTTGCATTTTTTCTTACTTTAATTTTTAATCTAAGTAGCACGTAATACCAATCCTACATAAATATAAAAATTATTATATGAGTTATTTCCTGTCGCATTTCGGCATTGAAGAAGGATATAGGGATAACAAACAGTCTCAAAGCATCCATCTCAAAAATCTCAATCCATAAAACAATACAAAATAAGAGCAGAGCAAACACGGACCCCCGAAACAACAGAGTGGGATCAGGTGCCATGGAGGAGTGAGCATCCCCTGCCGACCGGTCACACCCACCGCGTGCTCCTTGTCATGATCAGGAAATAACGGAAAAAAAATCCGTCGTCAATTCAGTGTGTAAATAATGGACTAACGATTGGTATGAAATACGTCAGTCAGCATTTGACTCAATGATAAATTTTATTTGCTGACAAGGTCATTGTATCGACCATAGAACTTACGAAATGATGACTTTAAACGAGACTGCTGATATTCTTGTTTCATCAACTTGCTTGTCAATAATTTACCTCGTTTAATTCGTTATTTTTTTAATGCATACTTTTGAGTAAGGTATATAAATTATATATCATTTAATTCTAAAAATTCTAAGCTCTTTAAAATGTTTTGAACGGAGCAGGTCTGACATCCGGCATTTTTTGGCCAATACCGTACTTTGATCTTTACATCTTTTTAGAAATTGTTCATGCGTAGAGCATGTTCTTGCGTATCGAATCTACTGAGATATATATACTCCGTATGCAGGTGATGAAGGTATATTGCTGGATAAGTATGGGAAGTTGACGATAGAAATGTTAAAGTCATCACGTTTATGATATAGTTTGGGTGTTAGATTACCATTAGCGTCTTTTTCAAGTAAAATATCCAAGTATGAAATTGAAGTGTCAGACACTGAGGTATCTTTCATCTCAAGCTCATCATGATATATCGTATCGACATAGAATGGAAATTAGCATTGTTAATTGACAATACGTCGTCGATATATCTAAATGTCGAGTTGAAGGCCACAGCAAGTGTTTTCTTCTTTTCACGCATAAGATTTTGCATAAATTCTGCTTCATATGAATATAAAAATAAGTCTGCTAATAACGGAGCGCAATTTGTACCCATGGGATTAAGAATTAAAAATGTGTAGAATGTAAACAAAAATGGCAGACAATAAAATCTGCATTTTTCTTCTTGTTTTAAAACATCTTGTTCGGGAAATATCTACTTCAAGAGATTTAGAAATTAAGGGGAAAATACCTGTTAACAAAGCACAGATTTTAACCAACATCGTACACCAGAAATTTTATTATCTGTAAACACCATTGGATTGAAATCATCAAAAAAAAAGCCAAAGGATAAATCTGTACATTATGAGTTTTATAGGTAGCTAGCCCTAACAAAAAAAAACTATAGTTAACTATACTTTACTATAGTTAACTATAGTTTACTATAGTTAACTATAGTAAATCAAAGTGTCAAAGTTTTCACCAAAGTTTTTCAAAGTGTCAAAGTTTTCGTCAAAGTTTTTCAAAGTGTCAAAGTTTTCGCCAAAGTTTTTCAAAGTATCAAAGTTTTCGCCAAAGTGTGCTGCATCTGTGAACCCATTGACTTTTTAAATTACTTTTTTGAAGAGTACACGATAAAGCAGGGGAAGCAAAGAGGTTTTCAGGAATTTATCCAACATAGGATTTTTGAATAACTTTGAATTTTCGATTTCGTTTAGACAGAAATATAACGTGTAGATTCTTAGTGGAATAATTAATTTTTTAAAAGTGATTGAGAAAATTTGACATTATAGTACATTGTTAGGGAAATATTTCTCCAACATTTATAATAATAAAAAATATCAGCATTCAATATTTGTATGTGCTTTTGATAAATTCAATCAGATTTTTTTTTAATTTCTTGTATTTTAGATGTATAAAGAATAGTTGGCTCATATACAACAGCAAAGCTAATACAAATCGGAAAGTAGCTCCGCCCATTGTAGTCCCGATCAGAACACCAAAACAACGGTGTTGTGTCATTAAATGAAATAATAATTAAACTGAATTCTTCAAAAATATGTTTTTTCAAATATTTATACTGTTATCACATAATGGCACAGGAAAATGAGCTTGGCTATAATTAATTTTCAAACGGGAATGGGTTTTTAACAGTTTTAAACGAAATAATTATTGACAGCAATTTACAAGAATTTGTTTTATTGATTTAATACCTAGATTTAACCATCATCGTATGAAACTTAACCTTTTATTTGTTTTGGTTGAAAAATCAGCGTGCGGTTCCTAAACTGAGAAATGCAAGAGTTGCCGTTATATGTTTGGTTTAGACTGTAATTTGTTTTGAAAAGTCCGGTAGGTGGCGACACCTCTAGCCTCTGTTTTTAGAGGATAAAATCTATCCTCCAAAAACAGAGGCCGCCTAGACCTGGTTAGGTGGGATTTCTTATGCGCCCGAATTTAAACATCCGAGGCATATATTGTATTTGTCCTGTCTGTCTGTCTGACTGTTTGTCTGTTTATCTGTTTGTCTATTTGTCTGCAAACTTTAACCTTCGCCATAACTTTTGAACCGTGAATGCTAGAGACTTAATTTTTGGTATACATACTCTACTAATTAAGCTGTTTCACAAGACATCAAAGTCAATAACCTTTTGACCTTGACTGTGACCTATATATGCTAAAAATATTTCTCTTCTGGAAACCTTAACCTTCGTCATAACTTTTGAACCATAAAAGATGGAGACTTCATATTTGGCATGTATACACCTCTGATGAAATTTATTTGATGACACCATGGTTAATGACCTTGAGACCTTGACTGTGAACTTTATGCTAAATATAGCTTTTTTCTCGACAAACTTTAACATTTGCCATAACTTTACAAGGAAGAATGATAGATATTTAATATTTGGCAAGCATACTTCACTAATGAAGCCCTTTCACTTGACACCAAGGTCATTGACCTTTTGACCTAGACTGTGTTCTGTATGCTGAAAATAGCTTTTTTTAACCTTTGCCATAACTTTTGAACCATGAGAGATATAGAGTTCATATTTGTCATGCTTTCTTCATTAATCAAGTTCTTTCAAACTACAACAAGATCAATGATCTTGTGACCTTGACCTATATATAATTTTTTTTCTTTGTTGCCGCCGGGCGCATAGTGTTTCACAAACACATCTTTTTAAAACTATGGGTTATCTGTACATAACCAACATTATTTACGCATAATATGGCGTACATACTTTTGTTCCGTTTTGATTCATGTACTCGAAATGGGGCACAAAGCAGGTGACTTCAACTTTTTATAAAACTTCTTATCTATGACATTTCATATTACATGTAATTTCATATAGATCCGAGTTTTCGAAGAGGGGTCTGTGTCTTCTAGCGTGGTCAAAATCCATGGCAATTTGTACTTTTATAAAGCTTCCAATCTACTAGTTTTATACCAATTTCTCACAGATCTGCGTTTTCGAGAAGAGGGTTCAAGTTCACTTTTAATATGTTATAAAGAAGATAGGCGCATTTGGCGTGTGATCTGCAAGAATCATTTGTACGAAACATTTGTGGTTTAAATGTCCCTGATTTGGTTGGCTAAACATACGCTGGTCAGATTTTACAAACACGACCATAAGTTTTTTTTTTTCATTTAGTTTGAAAGACTTTGTGAGATTGTAACATTTATGTCCGTTTTTCCTAGGGGTACTATAACATAGTACTTACTTAATGTTTTACAACAAAATGACACCTAAAAGAATTAATGCATAGATGCATGATACATGCACATGTACATTATAGAATAGAAGATCATTGGAATTGATTTCGCTCGAGAACCAAACAGAACTAAAATTTTTCTAATTCAAAATTTTAATACATCAGTACATAAAACGAAACTGACAAAATAAATGATTGTTTGCATGAAAAAAAAAAATAACGCCGTATACTGTATACAAAACTCGAACCAAAAACTTTTGTGGTTTAAATCGCTAGGACTGCTCTGAACAGGTAACCCAATTTACTGAGCTATCACCGCTACACAAACACATGATTTTAAAAGGACAAAGAAGCACCACAGTCACACACTTTGATTTTTTGGGGGGAAAGTTTATTTTTCGTGGTCTTTGAGTCTTCTTTCCTTTTTTTGAAAATGTGTATTCGCTCCTTTGAATTAAAATACACACAAATAACGTTTAAACTTCATGGACAGAAGACCCAAACATAGAATTTTTTTAAAAGTGTATAAAAATTTAGGATTTTGTATTTAATGTCTGGCCAATTTTCTAGTTATTTTGGGGGGGAAATCGAAGCTCAAATTCGGGAAAATGTTTTTCTTTTCTGTTGCAAAGAAACCCAATAAATAAAAAATATGTTACAATTTCATGTGCCATGTTTATAAATCTTTCACTTTTTAATAACGCCCAGATTCCTGCCTAAAGCAAATCAAATGCGCCCTCGTTCTTAGTATATAAAATAAGTAACACTGCAAAGTCCGAGGGGGAGGGGGGTCCAAACCCTCTGACGTCCTCTAGATCCAGCATGTTTGGGGCTTTAATAAATACACTATTCTATTCTATATTCAAATTAAAAATAATAGAAGAAATAGAAAATGACATCCTTACCTTGGACTGCTGAGTGCTGTAAAAAACAAAGCACATAAAACCATAAATTAGACATATGCCCAAACATACTAGTGTCAGTCTTGAAATGATTCAAATAAACTCTGTTTGATTCAAATATACTCTGTTTTATCTTTTCTTATTATTGAAACTATGGGAAATTACATTTTAGTTTTGTTTTCTTTGAAAAGAGTAATTTTTTGAATTTAAATACCTTGGGACTGAATGGATGGAATTTTTAAATATCAAAACCAACTGCGAGCAAGTCTTTTATAAATAAACGTCAGCTTTAAAAATAAGTTTTTCTAATTGTCTGAAATACAGTTGGCAAGGTAAATATGATTGATTTATTACATTAAAAAGCAAAGAGTTAAACGCACTCGTTGATATAGGTAAGGCGTCTAGGTTTTGATATTTTTTAGTGTAGATTTGCTATTCAGAGAAAGGTGAACATCATATTTGGTTGTATTAAGGGAAACGACAAGAGCAATTACAATGATGGGACCGGTTCAAACAGACATGGGATAAGGAGGTTTTATTGAAGAAAACCTTGGGACAAAAACATATTTTAGCATTTAGCATCCATGGGACACAGACTTGTTCAAATTAGTTATAGAGTTCTTAACTTAAGAGATATATTCATTATATCATAATATTACATATATATATATATAAATAATTTTAAAGTTTACTTAAAATTTTTTATTGTAATCAATAAGTGTCCTCCTCATTGACAGACTTACCTTCCGGATATGACAAATGGTGGATCATACGGTACTCACCCTCTGTTTTTTTGCTAACTAGACCTAAAGGGGAACAATTTAAAATTGGCAGTGGTTTCTCTTTGAAAGGAACCATAATTCTACCCAAATTTATCTCCTTTTCTAACTTTTTGCTAATAACTTCTGGTAAGTCCAGTGCTGATTTTAAATTTTTTGAAAGAGTATTTCTACTTTCCCCTGTGTAACCAATGTGGAAACCATATCGAAAACCATTAACTAAAAATTCTGTTTCTACCTTATCATACCCCACCAACCAGTACTCTAATCTACTGGGATTTACTGGAGTTGGACCCTTTTGTGGGATAGGTTGGCTTTGAGAATTTAGCATTACCTGTGTTGGTTGATGTGCCATTTCCTTGAAATGGTTTTTGGGTTCTGTATTTGTCCAAGAAACGAAATGGCCGTTGAATTGGTTTTTTACATATATAGATTGGATGGAAGCCACCACAGTTATAACATCTGTGCTGGAATTTGCATGATGAACCAAGCCTACAATAATTTCCAGCTTTGTGATAGGCAAAGCATAACCCCTGAGGGACTTCCTGATACGTACCAAATGACGAATGGTCTGGTGTTATTTTGCTTGACTTCTTTTCTGATTGTTTGAGGCGAGCATTAACATATATCTCCATATGGACATCACCCCATTCTACCTCACCTTGTTCTATGAGTTCCCTGAACTCCTTATCATATTTTCTCCAGTCCCCCTTTCCTCTGCAATTTGCCTTACTGATTCCATGTGTTTTGCAAGCTTTGGCTGTGCAAGTGTATCTTTAATGCAATATATTGTCACATACCTATTCCACGCAGTTACCCAGTCATGCAGGGATAACAAACCATCCCTAACTTCGTCGTCATCTGTGGATCGCATATTTTGGATTACCACCTTACTTGTCTGATCCTGTTCCTCTACCTTGATAGAATACTTACTTTTCCCCTTTTCCTTTTTTAACAACAGAGCCATATCAACATATTGTTTTGACCAAATTTTAGATTTTATTTTGTCAGAAACAGTTGCCTCTATCGGTACTGATGAGCTTACAAAACCTGATTTCTTACCGACATTTGCTGCAGGTGGAAGTTCAGTACCTACAATCTGTGAACTGTGTTCGATTACAGCACCTGATACCAATCCTGAGATACTTGCATCCACTGACTTATTTGTTATTTGACAAACTGACCCAGAAGGACCTGCTGTTAAGCTATTGCTTGATGTAGTGGAAGCATTATTTCCCTTTTCTCCCCCCATATTATGAACAGAGATACTCCCCTGATGTTGCAGTAATGGTTTTATCTCTGCTAACACCTTCTCCGTGACCGCCTTTGTTATGGTTTGGGTTAATGCAGCCAAGGTTTCAGGAGGAACATCAAGGGGTTGAGTGCTTGTATCGACAGCCATAGCATCATTGGTAGTGGACTCTCCAGTTCCGTTCTGTGCACGACGTGGTCTTTTCACCTGACTTGTTTTGGACTGTTGGGCTTTATTCCTTTTGCCTGGCATAATGCTGGTAAATATATACCTATATAGATTTACAATTAAGGAAGAAGTATGTATCCAATATATTATGTTATGTATAAATATAAACTGTAAAAGGCTTTGGCCTTAATTGACAATGAACAAGAATTGTAAGACCTCACTGTAGCCAGTGTAGGCCCCAACTGTAAGAGTCAGTTAGCCTACATGACAACGTATTTGAGCATATTGATATTCAACATTACATTATATAACCACTTTCATCGCTCAGTACAATGTGTAAATCTAATACAACAAACTAGAAGGTATTGAACCTTTTCTTACAATTAATTTTTCCCTTCATTGATTCTGCCGCTTTTCGATAAAACACCCTGTATCACCTACAGTTGTTGACAAAAATTTTCCGGAAATAGAGTAAATAGTAGAACTAAAAGTGTTTTGGAACAGATCTGTATTTCCCGAATTGCCGTAAGCCAATAAAAGCACCCATTGTGCGACTGCAAAAGCCATTAGTCAACATCACTAAGCCGATGCTGATCAGTAAGAACTATCCGCCACATAAAACGAAAAGTTGACATAAGTTATAAATCACCACCTTTGAAGCTGACAACCCTCGCACCTTGTCGAATTCCCAAGAAGGCTGTAGTGCCTTTCCAACAGATAACAACCTGTTCGGCTGTTGTTAATTGTTTTCATCACTACTACAATGATACTTGAAGGGCTTGTAATGTATCTAAGCGCAGTTGCAGAACAGTAAAACCCTAATAAATGAATAATGAAAAACAACTATTTGTTTAAGACTCAATATCATATAAAGGGGATAGCAAATACAAACAGTAAACTTGTACCTTCAAAAATGAAATGCGGATTTTTTTTTTATTTTAATTCCTCCATAATCTGGACCATTGAATCGAACATGATTAGGTAAATCAACTTAAAGTGAAATCGATACAAAAATCATCAAGGTAAAAGTGGGCCTAACATGAATTAAAAACCAAAACGGCTAAATGTCAAGTACAAAAGACTGCCTGAAACTTGTACCTTGGACTTGCCTAAAGTACTGTAAAAATTCACAATATTTAAGTAATCAACTAATACCGAAACAAACAAATTGGCAGATATTTTTCCAACAAATTGTTTTTTTTTTATACAGAAAAAGGATAAATCTGGAAGGCATCAACATGCACTTCTAGACTTATCAAATAAACAAGCGATGGAAAATAAATCGCCGGGGTAAAAGTTGAAACTAAAATGAAAAGATCCGCATGGGTACAAACTTGGCAAGTACAAAAGACTGCCTGAAACTTGTACTTAGGACTTGCCTAAAGTACTGTAGAATTTCACAATATTTTAGTAATCAACTTATACCGAAACAAACGAATTGGCAGACAATTCCCAACGATTTTCCTTCACAGAACTTCGTGATCGGGAGGCCCGGGTTCAATTCTCGATCACGGCGCCGCGTCATACCTAAGACGTAAACATAGGTAGTGACTGTTCCTTCGCCAAGCGCTCGGCACTAGAAGTGAAAGTCACGGGTCTTTCGGATATGACCTTAAAAACGTAGGTCCCGTGTCACGGTAGGCGTTGGCACGATAAAGAACCCTCACTGCTCAATGGCCCTGAGTGCCGAGTATAGGTCTAAATTTGAAGCCCTTCACCGGCATCGGTGACGTCTCCATATGAGTGAAAAATTCTCAAGAGGGACGTTAAACAATATACAATCAATCAATCCTTCACAGAAAAAGGATAAGTCGATCTGGAATGCATTGAAATACATTCATAGACATCAAATAAAAACCGATGGAAAAAATCGCCATATGCATGGTAAAAACTGAAACTAAAATGAAAAAACCCGAACGGGTTTAAACTTGGCAAGAACAAAAGACTTCCTGAAACTTGTACTTAGGACTTGCCTAAAGTACTGTAAAAATTCACAATATTTTAGCAATCAACTAATACCGAAACAAATTGGCAGACATTCTTCCAACGAATTTACTTCACAGAAAAAGGATTAATCTGGAATGCTTAAAAATACATTCCTAGATATCAAATAGAAAAACGACGGAAAAAATCGCCATCTGCATGGTAATTTAAAAGCCGAAACCAAAATGAAAAAACCCAAATGGGTTGAAACTTGGCAAGTACCCAAAAACTGCCTGAAACTTGTACTTAGTATCTGCCTAAAGTACTGTAAAAATTAAACCAACAACGAAACAATCAAATTTGCTGATACTTTTTCCAACCGAATTTTCTTCACAGAAAAAGGATAAATCCGTTTTACATTATTAGACATCCTAAATGCCTATCGTATTGTTAAAATAACAAAATGTTGTATAATTTCAAAGAATATCTATCTGAAAAATTGACGAACAATAAAAGTAACAAAATTGTGACAAACTTTTATGACTTAGATACATGTATATCTATTTTCTCGCTGAAATTAAAGCTCCCCTAATACTCCTATATAAATGAACATTCCCCTGACTGTTCAGATGAACTCCGTCGTGAACAAATTTACGACTGCAGTCTCCTTCACGGGGAGAAACGAAATAATTCCCAAGTTCCCAAAATACGCAGTAACCCAGTGCTGGCAATGCATCTCTCTCAATATTGCGTTTACTTTGTTTGCAATATTATTGTACCCAAAACGAACACCAAATCGTGGCAATAATTTACAAACAATTATTTTAGCAACTTTATAGCGGCGATGCATTACCGATACCACAGATTAAATTTTTGCAGCTAACAAGGTAGCGTCGGTACTAGGACTAATATCGTTCTCCCCAATCATTAGAACAACTACATC